AATCAGATGTCACATGACTGTTTGTTATATAATTCGTTAACCCTACATGAATTGGTATCTATTTTTTATCCTCTCCTTCTCTTGTGGTTCAGCAATGGGAAGGTCTCATTGAGTTGCTGGGTTCCGAGTCTAAAACTGCTGGAGGTCTTGAGTTTCTGCACAAGTAAAATTCATCTCTGTATACTTTTCCTGCTATTTGCAACTGGTACAATTTTGTTCTACTAATGCAAGTGTGTCCATCACAGGTACAGGGACTTCAAGAGGTTTCTTAAGCACATTCATGATGGAAAAAACATAGAAGCTGCTCGGCAAGCTGTCGAGTCCCTTATGTTGGTATGTGAAGCCTCCTATCACGTGACTTGTGTATGCAATCTTTTTAAAAAAAATACTAGTGAAAAAGAGGAAGCAGAACTTGCCATACTAAATGTATCGATCCAGGAAATGTAGAATGTGCAATCTGGGTAGCTGGTGGTCCTTAAAACACTGCCGATGTAGAAAAAGGAGTCCATGGAAAGAACCTGTCTTCCATCGACAGCTTACCGGAAGTTTAAATACTGGAATTTTTGTAGTTGCATTTTTGTTTAATTTTTTTTACGAGTGAGGTTGTATTTGGCTTCTGTGTTTTCTTGTTATTCATCCCATATACCTTTATAACCTGCAGCTTATGAAAAACCCTTCTACACCTCAACGATTTTGGCTGCCTCTTCTGTATGACTCGGTGAGCTCTCTTACTGCATACTTCTTCTGTTCTGTATAAGCATGGGAGAACCATTACTTACTGAGTGCAGCCTCCAATTAGAGTAGGCTTTTGCTTGTATTTGCTCTTCTTCTGAGCAATGTGTTGATGGGTCGAATTTGGTTAACTTTGCTATTGTATGTTGCTGTTGATTTGCCCTCACATTTGTATTGTTTGTTGTTGGTTTACTTGGCCCTTACTTGGCATGTCTATCCGTGATTGAGTATTTGATTTACTGATGATGCTTTTTGTGCAGTTGATTTTGCTTAATTGGCAGGATCGACCTTTATTGAATGTTGCTCAGACCAATCTTCTGTTGAATAGACTGCAAGAGCTATCCATAGCGAAGCTGCGTCCGGACTTCATTGAAGCCGACTTGCCATCTCAAGCCTTAAGCTCCGTAAGGCTAGCCCTTGCCACAAACCTTGGACGTGCTATTTTAGAAGAATGATAGTGGCAATCCATGGGTGTTTTCATCACTCAATGTATATATATTTGGATAACCTTTGCCCGCTGCCAGACCTGCTCTTGCCTGGTCCATCTTTAGTGCCAACACAGTTGTGGAGCCCGGTTGGGGACATAAACCATTGAGTACGAGTTGACTTTTGTGTAAGGCTAGATTGGTTTGACTGTAAATTTTGTAATCCTAGTGCTGCATTAAATCGAGTGTACAAGTCGTAATGCTTCTGAGTATATTTGATTTTTTCATGAGAAAAATATTTGATTTTTTCATGAGGAAAGTACATTTTTCCCACTCTTTGCACTTGATATTTTTCTGTGCTGACTGTTTGTCTGAGGGCAGGCCTTTGTTCGCTACTCTGGCATGTTAGAGTTAGTGAGATGGATTTGCATCTGTGAGCACATGAGCTCATACTGGAACATAGAAAATCTCAGTCGCCACTTGCTTATTGGTGCCAGTGTTATTTAGAGAAAAAACAATGGTCTCCATTTGCAGTTGTAACAATAGATAGGTTGGTGTTGACCAGTCGACTTGATGTTGGGCTCGGACATGCTACGCCGGTCAGAATATCCGGTGCCAGTTTTCCAGGGAACTGCTAGTGTTTTTTGGCCCTTCTCAATCTCTGTGGTTGTCTTGATATTTCAAAGATGGAAGATTGTACTCCTGAACTCTGATTTTTATGGTAGAACTGTATACTTCTCTAAACTTTGTGTTTGGCCTTCTGGATTCGCTAAAATTGTTAGGTGTTAAGTTGTATCTTCATGGCAGGTTATTATTAGGTCGATTTTCACGATTTTTCTCCAAGCTTGGTCATAGTTTGTCCTGAACCTCTCAGAACAGATCGAGGCCATTCCCACATGAGATGGTGGCCGGAACTAAGCAAGTAGGGGTGGCAAATGCTCGAGCGGACTATCTCGCCTGCTTGGCAGCTTCTTTTATTGTCCCATCCGACTAGAATTTGACTATCAATCCCTTGATCTGGTATAGGTTCATTCCTTGCATCACTAACGAGCTCTAGTGGTACTAACCCCTATATGGCGTGGATGATTTCTTCGTGAAAATTGGTAACAAAAAGCTTCTCCCCAAACCGTGCTTACAATTTTTCATTTCACACGGCTTTCCCTATATAAATTTCAAAACTTGTCTAGTTTTGAATATTGCGGACACAAAACTGCAATGAAATGTGCGTATATCTGATCCAAATCTTGCTAGGTATTAGGACCAAGCATGTGCAATGTGTAGTCACAGATACTTGGCGATATTATGCGTGATATGCTGGAAAAATTGTGCAAAAATGATGTGCCTCAGGCATCTTCCAGATTGTACAAGTAGCATTCCTCGTCTTCGTGATCAGCTTCAGGTCTAACTTGGTTTACAATTAAATTCAGCATCACATAAATCTCTTCTGAACTAGGGTGTGTTTTGTCGCGTGCTACGAATCTATGAACGGTTCCGGCTATCTCCACAAAGCTAAGCCCCGGTGACTTCTTGACGCCTCTTTGCTCCATCGCTGCTCTCATTACTTTGGCATCATCCCAACGCTTAACCACCGCGTAAATGTTCGACAAACCAATATATCGACCGTCATGATCCGGATCTAACTCTATAAGTTTCCTTCCGATAATCTCTGCAATATCTAATCTCCTGTGGTTAACGCAACCGTTGAGCAGCGCACCCAACATTGAAGCGGTTTGGTCCGTCGGGATTTGACCCACGAACCGGTAAGCCTCTTCCAGACGTCCTGCGCGTGCCAGCACATCCACCATGCAAGCATAATGTTCTTCCTTAGGAGCCATTCCACGTTTATCTAAACACTCGAAGAAATGCCAAGCCTCGCAAACTAATCCTCCATGCGCACAAGCACTCAACAAGCACAAGTATGTGATCTCATCGGGCTTGATCCTGGTTCTTTGCATTTCATCGAATAATCTGAGGGCATCTTCGGCAAATCCATGCGTGGCGAGGCCTCCGATTATAGCATTCCAGATTAGCACGTCGGTCTTATTCACAGGTACCGTGTCAAACACCGCTAAAGCCTCGTCTATTGCTCCACATTTGGCATACATGTCTAAAAGGGACGTTTGCAGCATCAGAGTCGTCGGCAACTTATTCTCCACTAAGTACCGATGCATCATCTTTCCTTTCTCAAGTGCACCTAAGTGGGCGCAAGCGCACAATACACTCACCATAGTCACCTCGTTGGCCATTGGTCCAATGTAACGCATTCTGTCAAATAGTGCCATTGCTTCTCTATGCTCCCCGCTCTTGACATATCCATCAATTAACGAGCTCCATGACACGACGTCGCGCTCCGGCATCGAGTCAAACAATGCACGAGCGGAATCCACGTCCCCACACTTAGCATACCCATCCAACATGGAATTCCACGAAACGGAATTTCTGTTAGTCATTCCATCAAACGCCTTGCGTGCAGATACGATGTCCCCACAAGACGCGTACATATGGATCAAGGAGTTGACGATGAACCTATCCGATTCAAACCCAGATTTCGCGATATGGGCATGAATCGATTCCCCATGTTCCAGCTCCTCCAAACGAGCCACAGCCTTCGCAAGAAATGGAAATGTCATATGACCTGGCAAGACTCCTCTCCTCAACATCTCAACAAAAAGCGATAAACATCTGTTTGGGTTCTTACCTTTTGAATGCCCCCTAATAACTGTGTTCCAATGCCAAGTCCTTGAGCTCGACAGTTGCATCAGAACCCGGCGGGAGTAGCCTACGTCGCCAGCGCTTGAAAGTGCAGTGAAAGACAGAACTCCTGATAACAAAGGGTCCTCCTGGGACAGGCCTAAAGTGATCAGTATCGAGTGGATTTGTTTCAACTCGGTCATCGATTTGCATTTCTCGAGAAGGGTCGTCAGAGTTTCGTTCAAGACGCCATTTTTGCACAACCACGAAACATTCGACATTTAAAGAGTGGGAAGCTGAACGTTCCCCGTAACAAATTCTGTCGTGTTCACGCTCGGATGAAGCTGGAGAGCGAAGAAACATGTACCTTAATCAGTACTGCCAATTAGTTTCACCTGACGCTTGCGATGCGATCTCAGATGAAAATACAGAGGACTTCTGTTCACTTCTTCAAACCTTATTCACAGTAAATCTTGTCCCGGGACATCTCTGTCGAGCGCTTTATACCGTAGCTTCTGATTATGAGCGTAACATGGAGCTTTTGTTTCTTGCTGAGTGGGCATTTTCTGTTTGAGAATTGTTTCTTGGCTGCCCAAGTAAAACAGAGGGACAAGTGCAATAAAAGTTTTGAAACTTATCACGAAATGACTTGATTTGATCAATTTGACAAATTTTAGGACTTGATTGCACTTTCGTGGTAAATTTGAGGACTTGATTGCACGTTTTGAAAATCTTTAGGACTCGATTGTATTTTCGTGATAAGTTTTAAAATTTAATTGCACTTTTTGAAAATTTTAAGACTCAATTATACTTTTGTACAAGTTTTAGTGCACTTAGCTCTTGAAAAAACAATTTTGGTCAAAAGAGTGACATAAATAAGCACAAACTTCAGTGTTTGATCCAAAAGAAGATTGACTGACGCTAATTTTGCGGCTAAACGCAAAATTCTGTAATTAGTATCGGCACGTCGCAAATTTTTGGCCTAGATCGTGCCGAAGCAAAAAGCTGGTAATTTTCTTTTGATAAAAAAGCTCATTAAGAAATTGATCAATTCCATCCATGATGATATAAACTTTCATGTCATTTGACATATGAATCTCAATTAGCCCTTGTATACCATAACACTAGCACTATTCCTTTTGTTTTTTTTGTTGTACGCTTGACATGCTGTCCTGCTGTCGTATTCACGGACAGAAAAGAACTCAACAAAGATTTCGAGAAAGGCGAGGAAAACTGCTTTGCTTCGAGCGAGCGTGCCTAAGAATTCCAACGTTGTTTTGCAGCGACGTACTTATCTTGCCTCTGTACGCTAAATTTGTTGCTCGTTGTCATATGCCGTGCGCGCCGTTGTGTATCATTACGCGAGCAAAATCTCCCCTTTGAATTGCTGCAGGAGGACCCGATCTTCATAAGCTAAAATGAGTTCGTCTTCTGCTGTCAGAGCATTTGGTGCAGTTGTTAGGCTTGCGCATGGAGTTCCCTTCAAACTCCCCATGCCTTTCTCTCTCCAAAGAGGTACTTCTCCTTCCGTGGGAGTGTGTGTTTCTTCTGCTTCTTTCTTCTTTTTGGTGGGTGTGTGATTTCGGTTCGTTTCGATTAGATAAAGGCCTGAAAGATGTCAATCTTGTATTCAGGGACTGCTTCATTTGGCAGAATTCTGTCGTCTTCAGCAGTTATGTCGCGGAACACTTGGCGGGATTCGTTGTATGCAGTGAGATTTGATGGCGGCAATGCGAGAAAGATTTGGACTTTCTCTCCTGTTTGCATGGGCAGGAGGTCTTGCAAAATCGCTGGCAGAAAGGTACCTTCTTCTTCATGATCATGCCTTTTGTGGGCTTAGAGCTTGTTCTCTTCATTTTTCGGAGTGCGCAGCAGCCAAATCACCTAGTGTAGGTAACCTGTTTGATGAAATTCCTTGCTAGCATTACAGAAGCTAACAGTCGATAGATGATTTTGATAATTAATTTATACTATGGTTTCTCGTGGCAAATATTTACATTTTAAATTGCTTATGTTATTACCTGGAATCAGCGTTTGTAACTTGCCTTATTGCAGGACGCCCAAAATGCCAAAAAAGCAAAACTTTTTTCAAAGATAGGGAAAGAAGTCGTATCTGCGTAAGTTAGTCGCTTCATTTTCAATCTGGCTGCTTGATGTGATAAAAGACTGCTGATAATGAATGAGTGTCTTTAACAGTGTTTACTTGAATGGATCCTTGCTACATGACTATGCTACTTGTGTTTCTTTCTTTTCAAGGATACAACAGTTTAGTATGGAATATTTCTGTATCCATAATGATCAATAATTTGCGGTGGTCTATTTTTGTTCGATTTGGATAGTAATTGTTTTTCTTTGTTTTTTGAAGACTGCTATGAGGGTAATTACACCACTTGTTACAGGGTAAAGAAAGGCGGCCCAAATCTAACATCAAATACAGCTTTGGCTGCTATACTCGAGAAAGCTAAGGAACTGGATGTACCAAAAGAAATTCTAGAACGCAACATCAAAAGAGCTTCTGTAAAGGGGCAGGAGTCTTACATAGAGAAAATATATGAGGTAGGTGAACGATACCGCCTATATCTTGTAATAAGAATTACCAATTTCAAGGACTCCTTGTACTTGCTTTATCGTAGTAATTATCAACACAGCAATGCTTGTGACTTTCCTTTGCCTACTATGGAAAGTGAAGTTCTTCTTTTGTTCTCAGGTGTATGGTTTTGGAGGAGTCAGTATTGTAGTTGAGGTGTCCACTGATAAAGTAAATCGGTCTGTTGCAGCTGTTAGAGAGGTAGTGAGGGATTACGGTGGGAAAATGGCAGATCCAGGATCTGTCATGTTTAAGTTCAGGCGTGCCCGTGTTGTGAATATAAAAGTTACTGATGCTGATAAAGACGAGCTCCTCACCATTGCTCTAGATGCAGGTGCAGAGGATGTCATTGAACCTGCAATATATGAAGATGATGCAGATAAAGACACATTGGAGAGGTAACAATATTTCATTTCACTATAGGTTGATCTTTTCTAATGTATATCTCTGTCAGATTCAACTAATCCACCGGTCAATTTGATAGTTTACAGCTATCTGACCATACTTATCACAAGATTGCAAATTTTATGTATATCCGTTCTACTTATTGCAGTTGCGGGGATCGGTTTATCAAATATTCACTGACTAGAGATATCAGAACTATTCCTCTAGCTTCTAGAATGACTAATATCATGTTCACAATATGATTATCTCTAATTGTCTACTGGTAGCTGTTGAAGTGAATTACTGAAAGATCTTGGAAAATTTGATGCAAGGTAAAAAAAATGCCTGTTTCCGAAAAAAGAAACTATTTTGTAGTCCAATCTCTATTATCACTGAAAATGGCGATGAAGTGTGCCATCACTGCAAATTGTCTGCTACTGCTGCTAAATGTTCAATATTATCTTTGCAAAATCCAACGAGCCTCTCTTTTTGTCCGTGGTAAGGGAAAAAAATGCAGTCAATGTTTTTGTTGGATCTGGCCACTATCGCTACGTAGTAGCTGCAATCACCTAAATCTGCAATAGCATAGATTTGATAAATAAGATCAGATTCTGCAAAGATTACAATGTAGCTTCAAGTTTGGGAGTTTTCAATGTCTTGGGCTAAAGGATTAGGGTGCATTATTCTTCACATTCCCCATCACAAGATTTTGGGTCCTCTCAGGAATTTCTGGTTGGCGAAGAAATAAAAAGTAGGCTTTTGACAATAGCTTCAACCTTGCTTCATCCTATTTCATTCACTTTGTTCCAATATAATATGATCAGTTGTCTTTGTCATCTATATATATTTGTATGGAGCAAGTTCTTCAATTCAATCTTTTGTTTCTCAAAAAAATGGTAGTAGCATGGATATGACTACCCAAAACTAGGTCCAACTAAATAATCTTTTGTTGCAGCTATTATAAAGTTGTAAGTTCACCTGAGAACTATTCTGCAATTCTTTCAAAGCTACGAGAGGAAGGAATAGCTTTTGAGCCTGATAATGGGTCTGAGCTACTTCCCATCACCACCATTGAGGTACATCTCAAATTTTTAGACTTTATGGTCCTCTGCTACTGGTCATTTGTGACCTTCGTCCACATAGACTACACTATTTTCTTAAGGTTCATTCATTGGTCCTCTGTCTTGTCCCTTTTGTCTGCCTGCATTCAGCTTATAATAAGCAAAAAAAGGTTTCTCCTGGTATCTTGTCCTAACTGTACTCTTCATCTCTGTTTCTGTTTTTTCCGTGCTTATAAGAAACTGAAAATGCTTGTCCAGCTTCTATCGGAGGACAGCGCTATAGGTTCGCACTCTATTTGCTGTTGATATGAGCACTGTAATTATAAATCACACTCGAACATCCTTTCTTGTGATTTCCATTTTTAAGTTTCGGTTATTCTCTTTTTTGACATTGATGGAGGATAACACATATCAATGAGCCTTGAGTTTTCTCTGAAGTGCAGAATAGTGGTTGCGCATGCACACATTTTTTTTCTTTTGAATTTCCATCATTCCAGTAGACTTCAGTGAATTTAGAATCGAAGTTTGCTGTTCATATTGCGTATAGATGTGGGAAAATACTTAGGAATGAAAAAGAAAAAACATTCTCGACGTTAAGATGGAGTACTAGAAAATTTGTAAGATTCTCAATGATCAAGTACTTTAAGCTGATTATTTAATTGCAAGTTTTGGATATCTCTACATAAGGGCTGGCACATTAGTAATATTTGCTCGTAATGTGCTGGTAGCGCATATCTCAAGCATCTGGCGCATTGGTAGCCGTGTCTTCAAGGCAACTGCCTTGCAGTTAATGTCATTGATTCATCCGGAGATGCTGTGGTTTTAAGTGAAATATGTGATTAAAAAAATTCCTGGACAAAGATGCTGCTCTGCTGTCCTCTTTGTTTGATTTATGGTTTTAAGAGAAATATTTGTTGTGATAATTTTCAGGTGGATGATGAGGCAATGGACTTGAACAAGGAACTAATGTCAGGACTGCTTGATCTAGATGATGTTGACGCAGTCTATACGGACCAGAAATAATTGAGTCGCCTCATCACCATTTAAATGACTAGATGCATACTGCCAGTAGATGATACTGATACAAGCTGCACCAAGCATCAAATTTGTTCCGACTCTGTGTTCATTTGTTAGTTTACACAGTCTGTGTTTTCTTCATTTTTCTTAAGGAGAGGGGGATGAGGGGTTTGCGAGTGTTATTTTTGATGGAGTGTGTTATACCAAATTTTTACCGATGGAAGAGGAGCCTTCTGATATGCCCTACTCGTTCTTGGGTAATAAGTTCTAGATACTCGAATGCAATGGCCACGGTAATCATTTTCTGCTCAGTGGGCATTGATAGTCTCAGTGGCGATTTTCCTTTCGTTTCTTGTCTGTTTTTAGAGGGAGGTTGCCCCGGGGTGGTTCGGGGTTCCCGATGATGGGAAAAGTCATGAGACAACTCTTTGGAGAGGACCTTCATATCAGTAAAGCCCTCGCCTTAGATGGTATTTCAGCTGCCAGACTCTGAGGTACCAGTTGAATTTGACATTTGTGTTATGATAAAGGTATAATTGTTTTGTTCGAGTACGTCAGTGCACTATATATTGCCCTCATTTGTAACAAACTAGTGCTTCATTGGATCGGTCTGTGCTAACGAATTTCGAGACAAACCTTGATGCCGCTAACGCGGCTGCCTTCTTCAAAGAAAGACTACTGTAAGTACTTCTCCACTGACAATTTCTTGAATGCTAGTGACTTTTTCTTTTAGTTCCTCTATATGCCTTATGTGGTTCACTTTTATCCTAGATGTGAATATTCTGAACTCCTGTTGGCGGGGAGCTCAATGGTTGTTAGCTGTCTACTGATGTTTTAGGCTCTACTGGTGGCTAGTTAGATGTTGCAGCCCGAGATTTATCTGCAAGAGATCCTCGATCTTCACGGAAAAGCAAGCGTCATACGGTTTGCGAATCATAAACCATCATTACCAAGACAAGCACTACGTATAGAATTAAGAAAGAATCCGTAATTCCCGTCTGTGAGCAGCATCTACAGCTGAGCTTATTGTTTTCTTCTAGGTGGTTGGCAACTACCTTGTAGATGTAGCATCGCTAAGCTGCTCCTAGGATGATACTTGGCCTAAGCTTCGAGCTGTCGCGGCTTTCACATAATGCCGAAAGATGTTACGACTTGAAAACACTCGATGATGGCACATACAACTCGGTGACAGCATTACCGGAGAGACCGTTCATTTCAGATGTTGGGTTATTCGGATCTCGCGGGTTCATAGCTTGGCCTGATAACGGACCTGCCGGCCCAGTAATGTACCGGACCATTATAGACCAGTACCTCATAAAGAATTGGGCCGTACACTACAAATTGGCTAGAAGTTCTGGGACCAGCGAGTCTAGAATCATTGCTCTTAATGATGTTAGACACCTACTACGGTATAAGAGCATGGGTCAAGCTGGAAGTCATTCAATCATTAGAAAAATCCTGTTTTCATCCAATTTTCCATCCAACGACGACATGCGACTTCCCGTGTACCAGCATGTAGCATTACCCTCTTTCCTTGTTCCACTTTCACCTGCACAGTTCAGAATTCACACACACTAAAGTCAAAAAGGTGCTTCTGACACATGCCTACGTACGTAGCACCACAAATTGCGAGACACACCCACTTCCCCACAGTCCTTTTTTCTTTTGTCCCTGACCTCCTGATGACATCTTACAGCCATCTTCTTTCTTGGGTACAGCACCCGGAAAAACCCTCAAACAGCTGAACGCCATGAATGAAAAATCCGGTCGTTTCTTCAATAAATGCCTGAATTGACAACATTGACACTGATGGTTGAGGTTTGTTTGGACAACGGAGCGAAGGGTGTGTGAAATTTCTGGTTGGTGTCCATGTCTTTGCACAGTTTCAGCCGCCGAGAAGCCAATCTCCTTTGGGTTGGGGGGGGGGTTGTCTAGGAGAGAAGACTCCCGTTCTTCTTCTCAGCAGATCACATGGTCTGTCTTTTGACCGTCCACTTCTTAGTTTTTGCCTAAATCCGACAGATGTTACTGTTTAAGGTAGGGTTGTTTGTTCCCTATAGCACACGAGTCCACTGTAGAATTTACAAGTCGCATCCAGCCCGTACATTTTGGACGTTGAGGGGATATTTTCAACAAATCCGGACTATTTATAAATTCGAATACGGACTGTTGGATGTGACGGTACTCATGTGAGATATAAAGGGCGCTATGTTTAAGATAGAATTTAGCAAATGCAGGTACTTAGTGCCCATGCGATGCCTCCCAGAGGTGTTACTCCGTCGGATTTTACTTTTAGCATTCAATTAAATTCTTATTATGAACATAAGGCAATTTGACTTTGGTTTCCGATGCACAAGATCCTCATAGAGGCGAGCGAAGAGCATTTTGCTAAGATAAGACGAATTAAAAGTTCGGGAGCGACAATGCAAGTTATATCAAAGTTCATGAACCATTCGTATAATTTTCCCCTTTTTTCTCGTGGGGAGAGAGAAAGAGTGTGTTTTCCCATGCCGAAACGAGGCAGAAGATAACATTCCTAACGTAGCAAGAGCTTCATAAAACATATCATAGGAGAACTTTGGACTGACAATCAATTGAACAAGTGAAGATATCAGAGATGTCATCTTTATACTTAGGTAGAGGGATGTGGATGAAAACAGTGCTCAAGAATTTCCCCTGTTGAGAAGGCATTCAGAGAGAGAGAGAGAGGGAGAGAGAGATCTTGAAGCTGTCAATCTGAGGCAGAAAAGACACGGCAGCACCTTCATTAAATGAGTGAGGAGATTTGTCTCTCTTTGGCTGCTTTCGCCTTTGGGGCAGGAACCAAACTGAAAGCTTTTGTCTCTGTCCCACCCTCGCAGATTGTGGAAAGATGATGAAATCTTTTCACCCTTTTTTTCCCCTCTCTCTCTCTCTCTCTCTCTCCATATTTTTCACTTTTTGGAGGGGGGGAAAAACAAATGAAAGAAGCACCAGAGAAAAAGGCCAAGCTGCAGGTTCCAATTTTTTGCATTCTTTTTGAAGTGATGAATTACGGCTTTAAAAATTCATTATGTAAAATTGTTTTTTTTTTGGTCAATTCACCGGCCCCACGGGACAATTAGATAGCCCAATCAACAAGCGATCGTTTTCACACTCAACAGTAGGATGGATCGAACCTATATCGTCCATTTATCCGCGTGCGTACACGCATGCTCGCTCCTCAATCATCGAGACAATCCCGTGGCGTATGTTGCGAAATTATGTAGCAATGTTTTATTTCCTTAAAAGTGTATACATCAACTTCGATGGAGACTACATAAACGATGCCGAATAATGGGTTTATCGCGCATTTGCTAAAAATGAACAAATCCATCTTACTTTTTTTTTTTGCTTGTACTTAAAAAAGATTTGAAGTCAACTTCATTTTGCATCAACGTGTGCGGAAACTTCATTTTCAGTGCATTCTTGTCCTTTTGCTTTGCATCCACATCTAAGTGGTGTCTTAGCCTTCGATCCTATATGAAATGACTAGAGTAATTATCTTATATATGCGAAATACTTACTTTATCAATGGCAAATTCTAAATTATGCTCCAACCCCCACATAAATCATTTTGTGGCCAACAGAATAGAGACTAATAATTAATTAAATGAAGGGTCAATACCATGAAAAAATCCCAAACTGGTATATTGTGACAAATTTGCTCCAAAAATCCCAAAACTAATATGCTTGTGACAAATTTACTCTAAAAAAAACACCACAAACTCGTACACTTTCCATAAATGGAGGTTAAAACCTCAAATTGGTATATTCGTCAACTGCCATGTGTCATTTAACTCAGTAATTTGACAGTAAAATTTAATGAAAACTAATGGATGGTAGATTTATTACAGGTGTACCAATTTGAGGTTTTGGTGATAAAAAATATAATTTAAGTAAATTTATAACAGATTTACCGGTTTGAGATTTTTTATAGTATTAATTTTTAAATAAAATACCAATAATTAATACAAAATAAGGAAATCATTTTCTCACAAGGCCCCACCACCTTTCATTTTCCCTCACAAATTCTAAGGGGGGGGGGGGGGGCACAAAAGCGAACTGTCAGACGGTAGGGCATCGACACATCGCCATCAGAAGCGGAGGGTGGTGGTGGTGGTGGTGGGGGTGGAGTAAAAAGCAAAGCCTTTTTCCGATCTGACGGCTGACGTTCCATCATGCTGCGCCCCCACGCTACGCGCCTTACGTGAAGCAGTCGACATAGCAGTAGCGCTAGCGCGCCCCATCACCATCATGATCCCCTCGTCCCCGAGACGTTAGATGATTGGGACCCACACGGCGCTGCGCGTATGCATGTACGTATTTTGTCGGTTTTCTTTTTGTTTTTTTTGTAAGAAAAAGCTGAGAAATATTATAGACATCAACGAAAATTAGCTCGAATTGGATTTTCAAAAAACATTATTTCAATGGAAAACCTGAAGCGTCCAATTTTCTTAGGTAGAGACTTGAAGTGGATCTCATTTGAAATAAAGGTCCGAAGTGGTTATGTCAGTTTTCAAAGAAGCGAATCCCTTTCCGGATGGTCAAGGGTGTTTTCGTCCTTTACTCTTCTCTTCATTTTTTTCGCCTTTTTTCCTTTTTTCTTTCCTCTTTCTTCTTTTTTCCTTTTTCGGGTTTTTTCTTTCTTCTTCACGCCGACCATCGGCGATGCTCGGAGAGGGCTGGGTGACCCTCGAGGCAACTCGCCTTAGGTGAGGTCGGCCTCGTCGGAAAAAAAAAACCAAAAAAGAAATGAGAAAAAAGTAAAGAAAAAATTAAAATTAAAATTTTCTTTGGATAAAAATGCCATTGACTGGCTGGAATATTTAGCAGGCTGGCGACCGGCGAGGTTAGGCCCTTATTTAAAACTGCCGTGTCTACTTCATGCTCTTATTTGGAATTTTCCCATATTTTGATCGAGAGTGAATTCAAATGATAAAAATAGTGTGCGATAAATATATACAAAAAATAAAATTAAGGGTAGCTTAAGGAAAACCAGAGAGATTACAATGGAAACATCATTTTTTTTTTCAGTTATCTTAGAGAAATAATCACTTTACAATAGATTGTTTCTATAAGTTTTTACTTATATATATATCCTCTTAAAATAACATTAGGTGTATTAAATTTATTCTAAAAAACAATATAACGCCGGTAGAATTAACGAACTTACTTAAGTTTTTTACTTACAGTTTATCGAAAATTACATTGCTCGCTCTCAACATGAAATGATATTGTTGAAACAGTCGGTCATACGTGTTGTTCTACTGTATATGCGCGTGACGTGAAATTAATTTAGATTATAATTGAATAGAATACGAAATTGCGAATTTTTTTTATTAGAAATCTTGCCGTTGTTTTGGAAACATTAGAAAAAGGCTTAGAGCTGATAATGCTCCTTGATTGGACTAATCATGTGTGGTTCTACACGTTTCTTAAGTACAAAGCAGACAATCTGTTTCTCTTTGCTCCAAAGACCTGTTCTTCCTGGAACGACCACAGGAAACTTATCAATTAAATCATGCTTACGGGGGGGCATAGTTGCACGTGCACAACAATCAAACTACATGATCAAACTGAATGA